TTCAAGCCACACCTTTTGGTGAAGATTGCCAGGAGTCAGCTGTTGTTATCCAGATGGGTCTAATAAAGAGACAACTTGAGAGGCCTTAATGTGGAAACTGCAAAAGCTTTTTGAGGGAGAAGCCCTGAGATCACACAACAGACCCTCGAGTTCATTAAATATGACTGAAAGTATGTAAATAAAGACAACGTCAAGAGACTTAAACAGTTATCGTCATGCTTTCTTATTGAAAGTTCAGGGGCCTCGTCACACAAAGTCACTATAGTTTCCTTCAACAGTTCAAAACCATCAATGTCAAGTTAATTTGGGGATAGAATCTCAATACAAGTGTGGTTGTTTGTTCTGCATTCCTATATATAAATGTGTTTATGTAGAACATTGCACGTCAGGTTTGACCAGAGAATTTCAGATTTTGAGCTAAATAATATCCAATATGTTACTTAAAAAGATAGTCAAATCAGTGAAATCAGATCCCTTTTTACATTTTCAGCAATGTCTCGTGTATAGCTATACAGGGGTACACTCACTCCCTATTATATGGATGTGCAAATAACCAATAGAAAATTTGTTTGGGTTAAAAATGACTGAAGAATTTATTTGTTTGTTTTCTAATTCTTCCACTGTTCGCTTCATACTTTTAACTTAGTATAGCTGCACTTTGGCTGGGCTCTTCTAACACACAAATACTCTAACCACTCTGTTATAGTTCTGGTTGTATGTGTAAAGTCTCTATCCCACTGGAAGGTAAACCTTCACCCAGTTTCAACTGTTCTGTAGCCTCTAAAAAGTTTTCTTTCAAGATTGCTCTCTGCATTAACCTTTCCATCATTTCTGATTTGCTTATGTTAGGAATCTCCTGAGCAGAATGCTGCTGCCACCATGTTTCACAGTGGGGATGCTTTGAGGGTTATGTGTAGTGTTTGTTTGCATCCACACATAACACTCTGTATCTATGCTGCCACCATCATACTTCATGATACGGACGGCATGTTTGGGCTAATGTGCAAAGTTTGTTTTCTACCTCACAAAGAGTTTTGAGCGTAGGTTATGAAGTTACGTTTTGATCTCATCTGACCAGAGCAATTGAATGTTAAAGTGCATGGTTACCGATGTGCTGCATAGGAATTTCTAACTTTGAATTTGTCAAGTTGCGAAACATGCTGCAAGGCTACAGTTGCTTAAGAAAAAACTAAACAACAGCCCACATAGGTTCCATAGGAATATAATTTAGAAATGATTTAATTTTTTCTTTTAAAAAGTCAAGTAGTTATACTTTGAAAAGAGGTTTGTGTTGAGATAAGTGAATCCCATTTTCCGTGGTTGCTTGTTGGAATCGGAATGCTGACTTGTTTACCGCCTTGAGGAACTGTGACTGATTGCACTTGGGAGTGAAGTCAAGGGATGTCTCTGTTAGCTAAACATCCTGTTGCCCTGTTTAAATACACTACATTGTGTGGTGTTAAGTGTGTGAAAAACACAGGAAATGCATGAGGGTCATCCACATTTGTGAGATGAGAAACTAGGCTGACTTCCTGAACTCTAAATACTCTAAAGGATAAAGGCATGCAAGTGGGAAAATTCATGGTCACTTGGTTTTTTCTGCTCCATTTTAGACAACGAACACTTTATTTGAACTTGCAAGGCTGATCAATCACAAATGGTAAACTAATTTAAAAAGGAAGAAATGAAGCAAAGAAGTCATGGTTTTTAAATAACAGAGTTGATCCTCTGTTTCTTGATCACTCAGTGTGAGTCTCTCCACAGAGATACAGATTGTGCAAATACAAGCTTTTAAACATTCATGTCAAGCTGACACAAGTAATTTAGTAAGAGGGGAAAAAAAGCACTGACAAACCATTCACCCTTTGCTCTCAGAGAGTCAGCTGCATAGCAGTAAACGCAGCTCAACAGAGAAAACGTAATCGAACAATAAAAAGGAAGTCCAAAATATGTGTCATAGCTGCACAAGTGGAGCTACTGCACGCATGGGTTGTCTATATACAGCGACATGAAGGGTGCTTTATATGGTGGCAACATAAGGCCGAGGCGAAAGCTGTATGAAAGCCAGAGAAATACAAAGAAACTTCTCACACAACATGCTGTCTCTATGACAACAACACAGAATCATTTAGCCTGATCTCTTGGCTTTCCACAGAGCAGAGAAATCCAATAGCATTTAAGTCTTACACAACCAAGCCACAGATTCACTCCGCAAAGGTTTTGACACATTTGCAAATAAGGTTCAGGGATCCATTCATGGATTTACACAGTAACTTCCAAGACACTTTTATGTAGGAAACATTTCTAAGTGTTTAGAAAGAGTAAACATTTTTATTACGGTATTTGGTAAAGAAACATTAATGTATAGTGCAGTATTTTATTGATCTCGGAGTAAAAGAGAGTTAAGAATTCACCCAATAGGGTATAACAATTTGCACCCGCTGGTGAAGAGCACCTATTGGCACAGAGCAATTCAAAGTTCAATATCCATTATGGCTGTGGTGCATTTAAAACACAGCAAAACCTAAAGACATAAACTATTAACCAGTTACTGATGGATTGTATCACATTAAGTGAGAGGTACACATAGCACGATGCGATCTCTATTTGTAAGCATGTTATTTTAAGTCAAAATGCAAAAAATGCTGATACATACATTGCTATCAGGGTGTACTGCTACTAGTAACTATGATACCAGTTGGCAGATCTCATGTGTTTTTTTTTACTTGCAATAAAAACACTCTTAATGAGGTGTGACATAATTTTTAGATCCAACCTCCAATGTCCTAAAAAGTAGACCCTACCACAATACACACAACAGGGGTTCCCTGGTTCTTTCCTCCAATGTTTCAAACTTAATAATAATGATAAAAAAATAATTAGTTTGTGATTAAGGCATGCAATTTAACATTCATGTTATTAAAACAGCAGTAAACCTTTTAAAGGGGCAGTATTATGTGTTTTCAAGACACATATTGGTATTTTATAGCACAATCAAGTAACTATGTTACCTTCAATTGTTATGAAAATGCTCTCTACATATATCAAATATACAAAATTTTACTTTGATTTGTGTGCTTTGAAACTGGGCCTCTGTCTCTTTAAAAAACCCTGCTCTTTCTGAAACCCCACCTTCAGGAAGTCATGTAGCAGAGCTCCTAAATCAACCCTTTAACAATGTTTTTACCAGCATTGTTGGTAGCTCGTATGATGAGTTCAGCAGATTCCCAGTTTCATGAGGTGTTTGCTAATTGCTGCTGGCTAGTCTGAAGGAGCTGAGTGAGGGAAGGGGTGCTTTGTAAGGCGGAAGTTCGGGAAATAGCAGGATTGCTTAGCCAAAGCTAAATGTAAACTGAAGCTCTTTCTAACAATTTGTTTTGTAATAGCTTTTAAAAAAATAAATGAAATAAAACATTACTAGAGAGACTTGAATGTTTCCTATAAACTGTACAGTGACAAAGTCACTAAGAAGAGTTTCCCTTGTTAAGTTATAATTCATGCATAGATCAAGATAGGATAACTTTACATCCTTCTTTAAGTGTTTTTAATAAGAAAAAACCCTTTATAACTATGTTATACAGCTTTCTTTCACACTAACAATATGTTATATTTGTATACACTTATAACGCCACAAATGTGTGGGGTAGTTTCAGAACACTATGGGTAACATGAGACATCATCGTATTTTAAACCATGCAACTCAAATAAATTAGTCTTACTTTGGGTTCCGGCTCAATTCGTTCCTTTGCTAATTCCAAGTTTCATACCATGAGCTGGTGTTCTGTCCCTTCCTATCACCATTTCGTACCAATAAACAACCTACTTTGAACCCAAGTACTTAACCCCTGGTGAATCACTTGATTATTCATTGATTAGTCAATGCTAAGTATTTCATGGATTATGGTACTAAACTTCCCTCTATAGGGTACAAACTCACACATGGGAGACCAAACTATTTTGTACCAAAGAAAAAAACTGGGGACAAGATGGTCCGAAAGTATTTCATACTTTGGGTACCTTTTCATATATTACTTTTTCCAGGAATGACATACAACCTCAAAAAATAAGTTGTACTGGATGCTCATTTGGGATTTGAATAAATTTGTATCTGAAAAAGTTTCAAGAAATCATATTTTTGTTCACCTTTTGTACCCAACTGTCTCATGTCAAAACCTTTTCCCATGAATGAAATAATATAGTGTTTTTGTAATTTCATATCGGACCTTTCTAGGCCACAAAATTATGCAAAAAGAAGTGAAGGATAAAAAGTCCTTGGCCAATGTGATACCAGACAGACATTTTCTGCTACCACGTTGTACCTAACTTTTTATGTACAAATAGTCCGTCATTCATTCCAAGTATTTAGTCATTTTGTTACATTGTGGTTCTGGTATTTTCATACTATAGTTTTTCAGATACTGTGCAAAGCCGTTTCAGGTACGAAATGGTATATGTAAAAGCAATTCAGGCCCGTACCAGCCTTTTAAAGGAACTTTTTTGTACCAAAATACCAAAACATCAAGTCATTAACAAATAGCGGAGTGAAATGACCACTAACGTTTACAGAGCTAACTGTGAATTTAGAATTAAATAATTTTACTGATATATATGCCTTTACATAGCTTTAGTAAATTGTTTCCGTGCAACTTTAAGAAGTGGTGCGGGTGCGGTCGACCACGACAAGACTGCATGAAGTAAAACAGAAAAACAAACATTTTTGTGGCTGAGGGCATGTGTCAGCCCCACGTCTTTCTCCTAATTATATTCTACTTCGCGTGGTATCACACAGACGCTTCCCTCCTATATCAATGCGTGATTGAAGGCAAACTTCTTTTGGGAAGTGTTGGGACTACTTTAGTGAACCCCCTTGCACATCAAAATTAACTAATTGACCGCACAAGCATACAGAGGAAGGCGGTTAAGTGTAATGCTAGTTACTCTTCAACAAGTCGGAACTTTCTATTTGCTAGGCGAGCATATTTTCTTGCAAGGGTGACATGTTTTCACTACGTCGCGGAAGGATCCGATTTTTCTCAAGCGAGGGTCGACACATCCGCCCAGTTTTCCGATGTTTCATCCCCTCTTTACCTCCCCTCCTCCTCCGAGTTGAAAATGGAGTTCGATAAAAGCAGATGTCCACCAACTTTTCCTGGAAATCTCATGTCTGTGTTTGGTTGATTATTCCCTGTGTATGCACACTGAAAACAGCCAATTTCTTTTTTTGTTTGGCTTCGGATGCCTTTACTGCAGAATATTCGGACACGTTGACGGAGCCGACACTGCACAGCGCTTTTTCAAGTGTCGTCCTGGAGCTGAAGTTGGGCGAATGGATGCTCGACGTAAATAACCTAACAAACGTTACAGTCTACGGCGATTCCTGCATTTTCTCTCATTTTTTGAAGGATCTATAAACATTCTTGCAAAGCGAGGATCTGCTGTGTGTTTGTTGAAGGAGGATGGTGCCGCTTGCTCATTTGTTGTGGTCGGATTTTACTTCCAGGGAGGATAAAATGAATCAACGGCTGTCATTCCTCCTCGCTGCTTTACTCTAGTCCCAGCCAGCAGAGCTAAGCTAGCTTTCACTCGGTGTTCTCGGGGACGCTCGGTTATGCATGCCCCCTCTTTGTACACCGTTCATCCGACGTCCTTAATAAGGTTTTATTCGTTTTTATGAAGGAAAATGGTGATTTTTGTGGTATTTTATCCCGCCGTCACTGCGTCGTCGATGCTATTGCTAAGATTTGGATCCTCGTGAGGAAAAAATGAGTGAAGATTCAACAAATCCAAACAACGAGTGAGTACTTTTTACTTACATATGCACAGACGTATACATATATTCAAGGAGCACATATAAATACAGTTCAGACTAGTATTTAGGTACCTTTAGGTATTAATATGTGCTCTTACACGCCGTCCCGGTGACATTTCTGACTCTGCTGCGCTGGTATTTCATCATTATGCTTTGCCTTTTATAATATAGAATGTAACTTCTAATTGTTTATTGACTATTGGAAGAATAATAGCACACGTTTGTTATAACTGTAATAACATGTATACATACGGAAACAATGCCATGCCTGCTCGTGTTCTTGTTTTGACATATTTGACATCTCCGATGGGAGAATTTATATTAGGCCTCTGTATTGAAGCTTCAGTAATGTTAGAATTATTCAATAAGGTGGAAAAATTATTCTAAACTCATTTATTATTATTATTATTATTATTATTATTATTATTACTATTATTATTATTATTATTATAGTAATGGTATTGTACTGATCGCCTCTTTAAATGTACGTATTTTTAAAGCAGACAAGCCAAGTCCAGTTTAAATATACATTGAGATATCTGTCAGTCTGAGTACATCATGGTCACACTGCGTTATATTGACAGTGTAGATCTGTGTGTAGCCAACTGCTGTCCGCCATGATTTCGGCACCTTCCCGTGCATTTAAATCCTGTATTTAATCCTTTTGCTTAAATCTAGTCTTTCCTAACCAGTCATACATATCACATGAAAACTATTCATGGCTATGGCGACATTTATAAGAGAAGAAGATTACTTTTTTTCTCAATCACACACATTTACATATCACGATCCCCATTCATAAAAAACGCCGTGGAACGGCGTTACATTCACGACCTATCTCAACGCGGTCCGCGGACACTGACTGTAATCTGTACATGTCGTGCTTTTCGTACATGTCGCACGCATTTCTGGTCGGGTTTAGCTATTGTTTTAATGGGGCTGATTCCCCCCCCCATGAGCCCTTGTTGACAGTCAGTGAGAAATATCTGCTTCGGGAGGTGCTGCGGTCACATGATCTCCTCCATTCATAAAGTACCTGCCTGCCCATTCACAGTACTGTACACTGTTTCGCATTGCACCGAAGATCGCATTTTTGGGTTAAATACTGCGCGGGTACAGAGGCAAAGGGTTTTTATATATATATGTGAGTGGGTCATAATGACATATAATCATTTTCCCCATCTCCGAGGGTTTGCTTTTTGCCACAGAGGAAGTAAAATGTCCTTTACAGTCATTTACATTGTCATGGATAGATGACTGAAACACACCCATTTCTTCTCCAATTTCTTTTATCTGGCCTTTGTGGTGCTGATTGATTTTAATGCATGGGGTTTTGTCCTTGAAGTGCACTTCTGTGATCTTATGTAACATTTGCCATGCTGTCCTTTGTTCACATTATCCAGTGCACAATTGAGCCTTTAACACATATGTGTTGATTAATCTAAACCTAATGTAGTACTTTTTTGTTTTGTCTTTTTATGTGTGATGCTACCAGATAAGATCAAACTTCTCATTGTGTTTTTGTCTGAAGACGAGAGAAAAAAACCCAACAACAACAAAAAAAAAAAAACATAAGCATTTGTAAAATTTGACCCGTCTTCTTAGAACAACATCAAGGATCCACAACAACCCCCACTGAGGGAATTTTTGCCGTGGGCTTTTGTATTATCAGTGGGTTTTAAATACAGTGCTGGGTTTGTTCCACCTGCATGATGGCGGCAGCGAACATGATGAAGTGATCCGGACATTGTTGCTATGATTCCACCACCTTTCTGCCAGTGGTATGATTCATTATAATGGAAGCTACAGAGTACTGAGTGAAGGTTGTCTTTCTTTTTCCTTTTTGAAGACGTTTCGGTTTTTCCCATTGCCCAGGTGGATTTAGATCTTAGAGGAAGTCAGTCGCTTATTTCTAAAACGAAAACTCTTTCCCAATATTCTCCGAATCCTTGAATAAAACCTGCTCAACTAACAAGTTGCTGACAGGTGTTAAGGAAAACATATTTTCTTTGACTGGCTAATTCTCATTATGTTGTAGAAGCAAATAGCTATAAATACCACAAGTAAAAAAAAAAAAAAAATACATAATCATAATTAGATTTGTGGACTTGTCGTTTTAAACACTTTTTTCACAACACAAAAGCCCTTGTGTCCACATTCTCTTAAAAACAGGAAGCAAGTATCATGCATGAATGATTGCATGTAATACGGATCCGGAGTGTCTGATGGGCCATTGTTGTGCATAGAACACAATGTTTTCTTAGTTGAAAAAAATAAATAAATGGGAGATTTGTGGTCACCTTGCTACAAAGATCATCTATGAAGCAATTGTGAAAGCTAGGACAGATAGCTGAACAAGGAAGTCAGCCAGACCACTGAGGCAACTGTGCCTGTTAGTTTTAAACTTGAAGTTTATCAGATGAAAAACAAAACATTGTTTACAGTGTTTCTTTTCGTGTCCTCTCGCCGAACAAAACACCTGCTGATGCCCACATATGACGTCAAATTAATAGCTGCTCTCATTTAGCATTAGCTGCAGCTCACTTTCTCCTCAGTGTCTGAGCCAATTACAGGAAAAAACATTCGGCCGCAGCTGCCACCTGATTCTGTAGTATGTATATATAGCTAAATCCTCACTAGTGATTATATCTGATTATATGGAGAAAAGTGAGACTGGTAACCATCTCACAGCTGACTAATATAAAGCAGGCTGTTTTGGTGGCACAGTTGGGAGGAACGCGCTGACATGACTTTACACATCAGTGTAACAATTCCGGTCAGAACAGGAGCAGAACTTGTCTATCTGAATATGGCTAGTATTTTTGTGTTTGCAGTGGTTCCCAACCCTGGTTCTCCAGCCTCTGTATCCTCGATGTGCCTTTGTTCCAGCACACCTGAGTTATACGATTGCCTGACCTCCTCTGCATGCCATCTAGTGCCTGTTAATCAACCTTGGTATTTAAGTCAGGCGTCTGGCAGCAAGGGGACACCTAAAACATGAATTACGGGGGAGAAGCAGAGTTGGGAATAACAGTTTAAAAAACAGCTTTTAACTATCATTTGCCACTGTGATGACTTAAAGACAGATTAGACTAGTCACAGAGATTTGATAAATCTCTGGGTCCAGTTTGTTAGGCTTGCATGCTACTTCTATCAGACATCATTTCCTTTGATTTCCTCCTTCTTACTGGACAAATCACCATAAAAATCTCTTCTTTATGGACTCGAATTGGACATTCTGTTGTGCATTGATGCCCAACTTTGGCATTCAAAGAGTCATCATCACTCTTTTACCTTTGGCTGTTGTCCGCTACCTTTTTTCACTTTTTGTTTGGTTTGTATTACAAGCTTTACCTCTAAAAAAAAGTATACAGTCTCTCATGAACATGTGTACAGAAAAAAAAAATCACTTTTCATGTGAAAACAGTGAAGATATGACACTGATACAATGTAAAGCCATGTTTACAGGTTGTGTAACAGTGTAGTGGCCATCTATGTCTGAACTACTGGCAACAAAAGTGAGTACTCCCCTAAGTGAAAAAGGGGGTGCCAGCCAGTTGCTGTTTAGACCTTACATTGCACACTGCATCAAATTGGTCGTCATGGCTTCATGGGGCTGCATAAATACTCCCAGCTGTGGGGAACTACAGTTCATCGAGGGAACCATGGATGCCAACATGTACTGTGACGTATTGAAGCAACGCTTGAACCCCTCCCCCCCACCTTCAGAAACTGGTCCAGAGGGCGGTATTGCAACATGATAATGAGCCCAAACATACCTCCAAGACGACCACTGTCTTACTAAAGAAACTGAGTGCAAAGGTTCTGGGCTGGCCAAGCATGTCTCCAGACCTAAACCATATTCCTTAAAGTTGGAGGAATGCAAGGTCTCTTAACATCCAGCAGCTTCATGATGTCATCATGGGGAAGAGGAATCCGGTGCAATCTGTGAAGCTCTAGTGAACTTCCTGCTCAAGAGAGATGTAGCAGTTCAGGAAAATTATAGTGCCCACAAAAAAACATGGAACCTGGACATTCTGGTGTCCTCACTTTTGAAAGATGTTATCTTGAGGGTTTCAGCCAATTTACTTTTATATACAAGCTGTACAATGGCTACACTGTATCAAAATAGTGTTGTTCAATGAAAACAAATAAAGTATTTTACAAAAATGCAAGGAGTGTACTCACTTTTGTGAGATACTGTATGTGTCTTTTAAGCTTGCAGTCTTCATAAATGCATTTTAAAATTGCCTCAAGATTCAAGCAGCGATGGCCCTGAGGTAGTTTTGTCTAAAAGATGGTTGGGTAAACCAAGCTGTTGTAGACACACAGCACAGCCTTTGTTGGGAACATGTTTCTTGGCCTTGGTGCAGTGGTGTTCACAAAGCTGAAATTACAAAAAGAGCTCATAAAGCCTTGTGAGATTCTGGCTTGTATCTTGTTCGGCATGTGTGGAGAGTTCCCCTCTTCTTTAATATCAAATAGATTCTTGCCAGTCTGCTGCACCTTCAGATGGAAAGTGCAGACATTTTACATGCCCTCATACGTTTTTGTTTTTTACTTAGTGAATGTCAGTTGACTGACACATACACCGGGTATGGCCTCATTGTTTGCGATTCCTGCCGTATTGTCTTTTGCTAGTCAGGTGATCTTCAGTCTGCTTTCTCTGTCCGCTTCCTATCTGTGTGATTGATTTGAAAGCTCAGTGTTCCAGCTGCCTATGTGGGTGTCTTGATCTTATCACATGTGAGCTGTTTTCACTCCCTTTAGTTTTGCAGAGCTTCCCAAAAACATTCTTCCCAAACAACCCCCATCACGTCTCAAAACGACAAGGATATACGACTTCTTCAGTTGTTGGCATGCTTTATGGCCTGGGTAATGACTCATATTCAGTGGAGCTCATGGTAAGCTAAATAGTGTCTTAGGCCTTTCAATAGTCAGTGAATTTTGCAGTTATTACAGTTTCTTGAACATGATCTCCATTT